CACTAATTTGAAACATAAAAGACATCAAAAAAATATATGAAACTACTTTAAATTGATTATATTTTATTAAAAAAAAAATTAATATCTTGTCAGGTTTCCTCTACTTTCTAAAACAGCATTAACCCTTTGTGGCATATTATCTATTAATTATTAATATTAATGATCTTCAAAATTGGAAAAATCAATCCATTTAGTATTTTTGTCCATAAATTGTATTCTTATTCTTGGGATTACTATTTGTAATATGATTTACATATTAATATTGTGATAAAACAGGTGTTGTCCAATCATGTTTTGGACATGTGTCATTTTATTATTAATATTTTTATTACTTATTTTTATTATTTATTTCTTATATATTAATTTAAAAAAGAAATTAATTTTTAGAACATAAAAATTACTACCTTTTGACCAAGTGAAAGAACAATCAATCAATCAACTGGTTAATTAACTATTTAATTAATATTTCAGGCCTTGCTTATAATATAAAATTTATTTACAAATAATTTATTTCAATTTTTGCTTAATAAAACATTTTTTTGGTCGGAAATTAAACAATAGGGTTTAATTGTCCATTTGGTTATCAGAGTGATATAGAATTCTGAGGTTTTGGTTATTTGCTTTAATATAGAAAGCAAAGGTTTGGTTTTTGGTTTTTTGTTAAGCATAAATGTTTTTGTTTAAGTTTTTGTAAAAGTGTTTAAATATTTAAGTGTTAAGACTGATTGGCAAAAGTATTAAGTGTTAATGTTGATAATGTTGAGTTATTATTATTATTAATAATTATTTATGATGATTAACATTAAAAATTTTTTTTTGAGCCATTGTTTACTATTAATTTACCACATGATTCCCCCTACCCTTAACTTATATTTTTATTTATGTATTTTTCTATTATTAGTTAATTCCAAGTCATGTGCCTACTAATTTATCATTGGTCCAAATTATTTATAGAATTGTAACAATTACAATCTAAATCAATAAAAAAAATTGAAAGTGAATTGAATAAAGCAGGAGAAGATTATAGAAAGGCAGTGGAGAGGTTAGATGAGTTCGAGAAAGGAGAAGATGATGGGAAGTGGTTGAAGAAGTTGAGGAGAAAGTTGGATGTTAAAGAATGGGGGAAGACAAAGAACAGAAAAAAAGGTGGGAAGAAACAGTAAAAGAATTGAAAGAGAAGGAGGTGAGACTGGTGAAGGATAAAGATTATTGGAAGAACCAGGTGGAGAGGCTGCGGGATACGTTGTTTGAATATGGTAAAGAAAAAAGGTAATGAACAAATTGCATAAAAAAACATACAAAAAATTATTTTTCGTTCATTTGTTTATTTATTTTTTAATTTGTGATACATGATAGAATGGGGTGTTAGATATTAGTATAGTCATAAACATAGGGGAAATCAAATAATAAAATCAAATAGTAAAGATTTTTGTTGATCATTTTTATAATAATTAACAAATGCAAAATTACTATTTATCAATTAAGAAAAATCACCTTTACAGAAATTTTTATAACTCAACATACAGATGGGTTTTCCAATTCTGAAAAGTATTTTGTATTCCCTAAATATGTGTTTACAACGTAACAATGCTATTTTTTTTTTGCAAATACTTATAACATTGATGTGTTTGCATATTACTAAATGTAATTTTTGTCAAAATTCTAGATGTTTATTAACACAATTTCTAAAAATTTATTGTAAACACAAAAATTTGCGTTGTTACGTTGTAGATCAGGTTCTCAGGAGTAATAATCATTTTGGATTTCTTCTGTGGCTATTCTGTTTCCAAAGTTATAAAATTTTTAAGAAACTCTATATCAATTGCTCTCTGACAAAGGTGACAATGTATTATCACCTTTTAGAATAATTCGTCATTCTATAAAGGATATTGTATGGGTCAAACATGGGTTCCTTTGTGCCATGCTTGATACAATGGGGCAGTTAGCCAACTTTTCACCTCCAACAAAACGAGATCCTTCTCACAGAATTAGAGATGAAAATATTAAGTTACTTCCACCATTTATCAATGTTATGACATTTGATGCACTTGATTACAAACTGAAAGATCATCCAAATCATTGCTTGCTCTTTGGCAGACCATTATGGGGATCCAGTGTTATTGCAGGGAAAGACATTAGGGAAGTAGTGGAATTTGCAAAATGCAAACTCTTGGGGGATACCAATTATCAGACTTGACAAAACCAATAGAATATATATTTAATGATGAAGAAAATAGATTTGCTGTTTCTTTGGCTATATTAAGCTGTCTTGTCTCTCTGGATATTTCAACTCAATCTCAGCTTACCCATTTATTGGTGGGCAGTTATATGGGTACTTGTATTGGTGTTTCAAAAAGTAGAGAAAATATTTTAACCATGTATCCCTCTGAACCTATTCTTTCTGAAGTTGCTTTGCAAATTATTTGAAATTGAAACAAATAGAAGATTTGTCCTTGATCGACTTGAAACTTCATTAAAGAATGGGCTTGTTGAAGCAGGACATCGTGGGGAACTTGTTGCACACCTCATTCTTACATTTGGATGGCAACATATGTTACAAGGTACATCTTTTTATACAGAAGAGAGAACTGTAGAAGAATTTTTGAACACAATTTTTGGAGACATTAAAATTCACATTAAGGAAAATAATAAATTCAAACATCTAAAACTTGAAGAGAGTTTTCTAGAATCAAAAATTTGTTTTACACATTTCATTCAGCTCATTGAACCACCAAATTGTCTATGGTGCAAGTCACTTAGTCGCCGAACTTTTTATTGGCTGTGTAGATCCTATATCCTCTCCAAAAATGGAAATGTATGACCCAAAAAACAAATCATAGAA